TGCCTCGGCTCTTCTCCATCGGCCCCGCTACTTCCTCCCTAGGGCTCGGCCCTCCGTCCTTCCTCCCTCCCTCCCTCCCTCCCTCCTCTCTCCCTCTTCCCGCCCTTCCTCTCCCTCTATCCCTAGGTTGTCCCCCTTGTCCCCCTCCCTCCTCCCTCCCTCCCTGCGTCCTTCCTCCTTTGTGCCCGATCTAGAGAGTGCATTTTGTTGTTCGTTCTTTTCCCAAGTTTAAGTGATCACCAGATTTCGTTTGTCGATCTGAAATAAAGCGAGCGCGCACACGCTCACGCTGCCTTCAGAGAGAGAGAGAGAGAGAGAGAGAGAGAGAGAGACGCGCTGTGGCGGGCGTAGGGAACAGAGGCGAAGAGGGTGAACTGTGGAACGAAATGTCGATCACTTGAAAACTGAAATACCTCTTGCAGGTCAGTTTGATGATTAATCTTAATGCCTTCCCTCGACAGGGAGAGGAGAATTGAGGAGGAAGGACTTGAGGAGGAGGGGGGCAAACTTTGGGTGGTGGAGGAGGAAGAGTGCTAGGCGGAGTGTGAGTACCCTCTCTCCCTCTTTCTTGCGCGCGTGCACCCTTATTGAGATCTGATAAGAATTGCAGCGTTTGCGTCCAGCACAGAAATAACAGAAAACGAAATACACCTCTTATGCCTGCAGAGAAATAATAGAAAACGAAATACACCTCTTATGCCTGGCGTTAAGAAAGGAAGGAAGCCGGATCGAGGGAGGCAGGAGGTCGGGGGGAGTAGGGTAGGTCGGTGTCGCGGAGGAAGCAATGGGGTGGAGGTGGTGTGGAGAGGGAGGAGGTCAGGCGGAGGGTGAAATAGGCGGAAAGGGAGGGAGGAGGTGGGGGGAGAGAGAAGTCAGGCGGAGATTGGGCGAAAGAAAAGAGGGGAGGGAGATGGTCGGGCTGAGGGAGGTTGAGGACGACGAGAAAGTCGGGAAGAGGCTGGGATGAAGAGGAAACAAGGCAGAGAGAAGGCGGGTGGAGGGAGGGAGTAAGGCGGAGAGAGAGAGAGAGAGAGAGAGAGAGAGAGAGAGAGAGAGAGAGAGAGAGAGAGAGAGAGAGAGAGAGAGAGAGAGAGAGAGCAAGTTAACGACCGACGACGGAGGGGGGTCGGTGCAGTGGGGAAGGAGGGTTGGCTCGGTTTGGGAGAAGGGTCGGCACAGTGGAGGAGGAGGATCGGTCCAGTGAGAGAGGAGGGTGGAAGGGGTGAAGGGTCGCTACAGTGAGGAGTCGGATGGGCGCAGAGGGAGAGGAGGTATAGCAGAGGGAGCATTGAGCATTGAGGCCAGGTGGAGGGTGGGGGTAATTCCGCTGGAAATGGGGTGTCATTCGGCCGGAAGTGTGGAAAAGTTCCAGACGAGGTTGGGTGGACAGGCTGGGTAAATCAAATCCTGCGGCCTAAGGGCCAGCCGTGGGCCTCCACGCGGAGAGAGGCTGGAGAGACGGAAGCCATCAGGTGGACGAAGGAAGGCCCTCTGACACATGCTGCTCGGTTTCTTCTTTGGCTTTTGCCTTGCAGGAAATGCTCCAAGATGCACGCCCAGCATTACGTCTTACATAACAACTCTGTTTCTGACAGCTGCCCTTGACCAGGGGGCGAACAGCAAATGCCAAGCAGATAAGGCCTAGCAGATAAGGCCTAGCAGATAAGGCCTAGCAGATAAGGCCTGCATAACAACATTGGCACCCTTCTAATTGAAGGGGATTGATTCCCAACAATTGCCCTCGACCCATTCTCAATCACACCATCTCTGTGCACCCCCTGGCAATTGTCAATCTCACCATCTCGGCCCCTCTCAAATTGAGTCTCACACACACACACACACACACACACACACACACTGTTACGTGCTGAGCCTGCACACGGGCACCATTTTGGGGGCCCGACGGTTGCTGGGGGGGGCCCATGCCCTTTGGACATGCACCCTGGAGGCCCACGGCTGGCCCTTAGGCCGCAGGATTCAATTCGAGACAGCATTCATTTATTTATTTGCTGTCCCAGTTTTGTCTGTTCAGGCGTCTTTTCGGACCTGCAGTCCCCAAGTCGGCGCCTTGGGCCGGGTTCACCAGTAGGCAGGCTGCTCTGGGCCAGGTGCAGGGTCTGGACGTGCGGTCGGGACCCAGACCCAGTAGGCCCACGTTTTGGGCATAGGACCAGAGGCACAGAAGCAGACCGGCCGGCCCAGTGCTACATATAGCTGGGCCAAGGCCAGGGCAGGAGACAGTTCGAGTAGCTCACTTCTTGGGCGACACGCTGCTGGACCAGCGCCACAGCACTACAGCACTATGCCGGAGTAGAGGTAGAGGAGTAGGTAGGCAGAGGGGCGGAGGCCATACCCTGCATCGGCGGAGCTCCTACCTGGCACCATAGCTGGTCTTCACACCAACGCTCCTGCAGCACAGAGGGCACGTGACAACAGTTAGCACATGGCGGCAGTTATCTGCAGGTGAGATAGTGAGGAGGACGACATCTTCTTCTTCTTCTTCTTCTTCTTCTTCTTCTTCTTCTTCTTCTTCTCCTTCTTCTTCTTCTCTCGCCCTCCATCTCTCCTCCTTCCTCCTTCCCTCTTCTTCTTCTTCTTCTTCTTCTTCAGAGAGAGAGAAAAGGTTATAGGCAGAGGTTACATCGGGCATCAGGCGCAGGATCTGCTTCGACATTTTTGTGGCAGACATTGATTGGACATTCGGCAGGGATACTATTTTTGGACTTTGCTATCGCGATCTTGGTCTCCCTCGCCTCGCATCTTGGTCTTGCCTCTTCCCCCATCTCTCATGCGTGGTATCTTCCCCATATGTGTGTGCAAGGACAGACCTTTCTTCTGTGTATGCGCTCCCTCCTCCCTCTCTCACATGTGTGGTGTATGATGGGATGTCGCGTCCGTCCCTGGTAGGTCAGGTCATATCTTTGAGTGTTCCATTGCGCTACATTATGCTATTTTTGTATGTATCTGGATTTGCATTGCTCGTTGATGCTCTGCTGACACTGCATTGTCCATTCGAGTCCTTTTCCGCACTTTGCGGATCCTTGGCTCCCCATACATAGCTCGACTGAGCATGTATCAGTTGGTATCAGAGCCCCGCGCATGAATCAGGACTTCAACCTGACCTGATGCGCGGAAGGGGATCGATTTGTTGATTGATTGATTGATTGATTGATTGATTGATTTGATTGATTGATTGATTGATTTGATTGATTGATTGATTGATTGATTGATTGATTGATTAGCTTAACCTAGTTAGTTCCCATTTGTGATTCATGACCTAACTGGCAATTCCAATTTTTTTAATCTTGTTTTGGAATTCTTTGGTGCAGATTCGTTTTTTCGAATTTTCGTGAAATCTGAAATTGCGCAGTAGCTGAAAAATTTGAGTCTTTTTTCTTCAAATTTGAAAATTCGCTGCTTGATAAATCCGATTTTTTTTTTTTTTTAGTTTTAGAATTCTTTCTTTGCGTAATTCGTTTTTCTTATTAATTCTGAATCGCGCATTTAATTAGTAGCTGAAAATTTCGATTTTCTTCTATTCTTTTGAACTTCGAATTTTCCCGTTGCTGTAATATTCCGGAATTTTATTTTCTCAGAAAATCTCTCTTTGCAGTTGAGTTTCGGGATTCTTTATCCCAAAAAAAAAATCGAAATTTGCTGCGCATACTCTCATGTGAATTATTCCGAACTTTATTTTTTAATTTGGAATTACCTGGACTTGCAAAATTTTCGTTTTGCAGTTCAATTATGTTTTATTATTTTATTTTTTTTATTTATCGTTTCTCTGAACACCTCAGCAGTCTGAAATTCGAAACATTTATTATTATTATTATTACTTCACTTTCGAATTTTGGGGATTAGGAGACCTCCCGAACTTGCAATTTTTTTTTTTTTTCGAAATTATTATTATTTATGCGAAGTTTGAGCTTCGCTCTTCTCTCTTCGCTCCACCCCACCCTGTCCACGCTGCTGTGTCTCTCTTCGCTCTTCTCTCTCCTCCCAGTACATTACATCTCCTGCTTTCCCCTCTCCCACCCACCCTATCCACGCTGTTGTGTCTCTCTTCGCTCTTCTCTCTCCTCCCACCTGTCTTCTGCTTCGCACTGCTGCAGCATTGGTGAGTTGCCATGTCAGCAGGCCACGTCAGGAGTGACATGTCAGCTGACAACAGTGCCATGGCAGCAGTGCCACGTCAGCAGGCCACATCAGCAGGCCATGTCATCAGGCCATATCAGCGACATGTCAGCCGACAGCTGTGCCACGTCAGCAGCTGCTCAGTGCCATATCAGCAGCCGCTCAGTGTCACATCAGCAGTTCCGCAGCATATGCCCATGCTCACCCGATCACAAACAGGCGACATGGAGCAGAAGCAAGGGGAAACAACCGAGGCCTATGAGGCCCGCATGCTGACCTTGATGGCAGAAATCAAGCAGCGGGCAGACGCGGCGACAGCCGCGTGGAAGAAAGAGGAGGATGAGGCAGAGAAACCACGTTGTCTTGTGGAGGAACATCGCCAAAAGCAAGACGAAGCAGCAGCGAAGGCTGCCGATGAGGAACGCATACAACGATGCAACAAGATATTTAAGGAGGAAAGCGCACTACTTGCACTGGCCGCGGAATGGCAGACGGAGGCAAAAGGCGGGGAAATCAGCAACAGTGGGATCAAGCTCTCACTTTTGCTTTCCCTCTTCACGGACCTCCTGGCTACCTGCATTGCACAGCAGGAGGACATCCACTGCCTTAACCATGCGGTCCATGACCACAAGCAGACGGTCACACAGTTGACCAGCCGCATACAGCTACTGGAACAGCAGCAATGCACTGCCACTCCAGACGCCGGCCCGTCCAACCTCGCCGTTCGTGTCAACGTTTTAGAGGTTGCCGTAGGTATGCTCAAGGACGGCGCTCAGCAGCAGCAGGCAACAAATCAGCAGCTTGAACAGCAGATTTGTGCAGCAGCCGCCGGTCCTACCTCGTCGCCTCACGAGCGCATACCAAAGTTTGATGGCCTTCCGATCTTCTGCGATGCAACTAAGACCGAGCCTATTCCTTGGTGGCGCCAGTTTGAACTGATACTGGACATCCACAAGACCTGCGACCCCAGCCGACATGTGTATTTATATCACTGGTCGGGGGGCGCGTGCCAAGCTTGGCTGGATAATATGTTGTCTACGCACAAGGTCAAAATCTTCGAGCTGCACACGAAGATCAGTTGGAAGGATCTCAAGGCAGCATGGCATAGGCGGTTACAAGTGGAGCCGCCCGAGTTTCAGGCAATGAACAAACTCGGAAAGTTCTATCAGAACACCTTGCCAAGCGTGGACTGGATCATCGAGTACCAACACTTGGCATCCACGCCCGACTTGCCACTCGCCTTTAAGGGCATCAAACACTTATTCATCAAGAGGTCGTGCCCGGCGTTGCAGAACGCATTGATGCAAGTCGCGGAGACTCTCACAACAAGTGAGGAACTCTTCAATAAGGCCTCGCAGATAATTGTGACGAACATGGAGGCCCGCAATGCTGGCCGTTCGTCTTCTGCCGGTCAGGGCAGAGACCAGCATCGGCCGAAAGTGGCCGTGGTTGCAGCAACAATGCCGACCAATCCTTCAAACAAGGCCGCACCATCAAACGAGGGAGAAAGATTAGCAGCCGCTCGGGATAGTGGCCGCCCCATCAAAGGTCGAGGACGCGGCAAATCGAAGACAAACACCGCTTCATCCACCGGGCCCGGACAAGCAGCTCAAGAACCTTGGTCACATTACGGTCTCTCGAAGGGTGCCTACAAGGTCCGCATGAGATACCGGTATTGTTTATGGTGCAACGGCGTCCTACACGGGACGGTTAGCTGTCCTGACAAGGCCAAGTGAAAGTCCCTTCCGAGAAAGTGAGCACCGCCGAGAGTGAAATGGTTGCACTCTCGACGCCTTCGGAACCCGTTGCTTCGCGAGCGACCTCCCTTAGTTCCGAGGCACATGCGGAAGTCGTAATTCCTCTTCTCTATTCTTTTGAGGACTATGCTGCCCTGATCGTTCCATTGTTGGGATCTCAAGCTCAAGGACAAGGTGTGTGAGCAGTTTCTTCTCCGTTCGGAAGCGGCGACAATTTATCGTCTTCAAGTGGTTCTTCAACGGATTCGGAGTGCGAGTTCAACATAGAGGTCTTGGACTTATTGTCGTCGGAGGATTTCGCATGACTTCCTCTCCCTTCCACAGGCCGCTTACCGGGACCACAATGCGCAGCACTCTGTGCCCATCTCCACACATACTTAGCCTTCTATGCACCGCCACCTTTGACGACGGATGACGAAGTTGCGGTGGAGGACCTCCTTGCATGCATTACCAAGCTGGCCCGCAAGTTTTGCACACAGTGGTATGATGACAAGAACGCACCCCTCCTTTATGTCCGCATCCAAGTTGGGCAAGCGTCCTGCAGCGCTTTGCTGGATAGTGGCGCGACTCGCAATTTTATGAGCCAGTCCTTTATACACAGGGCCGGCCTTGCCGCACAAGTTCGAAGGAAGTCACATCCTACGGCGGTGAAGGTGGCGGAAGGTTGGACGCAACAACTTCTTGATCACTGCAGCGAAGCTGTGCCGGTCTATTTCGCACCTCATGCATGCGAGCCGGTTACGTTTGACGTCTTGGACACGGACTTCGACATTATTTGGGGGATGCCTTGGCTCGCAAGTGCGGACCACACGGTCAACTTCGATGGGCGAACGTTTATCATTCGTGACACCTTTGGCGCCGAGGTGCCGTGTACCATTCCTCTTCCGCACCGTTCGATCCGGTGCCAAGTTGTGACGTCCAAGTCTTTTCAGGCCACTTGTGCTTACAAGCGGACCGACAAGAGCGGCCTATGTTTTCTTAGAACCGTCGCAGTGACTGAGTCTTCAACCACGGACTTGTCTTCAGACACCCATGTGGTGCGGTTGCGTGACGAGTTCGTCGACGTCTTCGAGGTGTGGTGCTGGATCGGCCGATCTCCCACAAGATGATTCTTGACGCCGGTCCAGTGCCGCTGAAAGGATGCATCTACCGCATGAGAGAGGAAGAGCTCGCGGTTCTCTGCGCGCAACTCGATGACTTGTTGGACAAGGGCTAGATCCGCCCTAGTAGCTCACAATATGATGTAGCAGTTCTCTTCGTACGGAAGAAGAATAAGGATCTTCGCGTGTGCATTGACTATCGCAAGCTCAACACGCACACCGTCAAGAATGTGGGGCCTCTTCCTCGTATTGACGATCTTCTTGAGCATTTGGGCAGAGCAAAGTAGTTTTATTGCAGCCATAAGGCTGAACGTTGGTTGCCCTGTGTGGAACTTCAGGCTACAGCCCCATTGTCCTCGCACGTTACGAATGCAAACAGCAAGGCAAGCCGGTACCTTCGGCTCCACGCCATACTCGCGTCCTGGTTCCACCAAAGGATCGTCAGCTCTGCCCTCGACCCTGCTTGACTTCATAAGGAGGGGGGGGGGGTGTTACATGGTGAGCCTGCACATGGGCCCCATTTTGGGCGCCTGGCGGTTGCTGGGGCCCCTCAGGCCGCACGCCCTTTTGACATGCGCCCTGGAGGCCCACGGCTAGCCCTTAGGCCACAGGATTCGATTCGAGACAGCATTTATTTACTTATTTATTTATTTTCTGTTCTAGTTTTGTCTGTTCAGGCGTCGTTTCGGACCTGCACCAGGGCTGCGTCTTGGGCCGGGTTCACCAGTAGGCAGGCCGCTCTGGGCCAGGTGCAGGGTCTGGACGTCCGGTTGGGACCCAGACCCAGTAGGCGTAGGACCAGAGGCACAGAGGCAGACCGGCCGGCCCAGTGCAACATATAGCTGGGCCAAGGCCAGGGCAGGAGACAGTTCGAGTAGCTCACTTCTTGGGTGACATGCTGTTGGACCAGTGCCACAGCGCTACAGCACTACGCTGGAGTAGAGGTAGAGGAGTAGGTAGGCAGAGGGGCGGAGGCCATACCTGCGTCGGCGGAGCTCCTACCTGGCGCCATAGCTGGTCTTCATGCCAGCGCTCCTGCAGCATAGAGGGCACGCGGAGACAGTTAGTACATGGCGGCAGTTACCTGCAGGTGAGATAGTGAGGAGGACGGCATCTTCTTCTCTCGCCCTCCATCTCCTCCTTCTTCCCTCTTCTTCTTCTTCTTCTTCCGAGAGAGAGAGGTTACAGGCAGAGGTTACATTGGACATCAGGCCCAGGATCTGATTCAACATTTTTGTGGCAGACATTGATTGGACACTTGGCAGGGAGACTATGTTTGGACTTCACTATCCCAATTTGGTCGTCTCCAGCACCTCCATCTTCGTCTCGCCTCTCACCCCATCTCTCATCCGTGGTATCTTCCCCATGTGCGTGTGCAAGGAGGGACCTTTCTTCTGTGTATGCACTCCCTCCTCCCTCTCTCACGTGTGTGGTGTATGATGGGATGTCGTGTCAGTCTCTGATAGGTCAGGTCATATCTTTGAGTGTTCCATTCCGCTACACTATGCTATTTTTGTATGTATCTGGATGGGCATTGCTGGTTGATGCTTTGCTGACACTGCATTGTCCATTCGAGTCCTTTTCCTCACTTTGTGGATCCTTCGCTCCCCATACATAGCTCGACTGAGCATGTATCACACACACACACACACACACACACACACAACACACACACACACACACACACACACACACTGTCGCATACCTGTCTCTTATACACATCTAGAAAGCCTCCCGGCATGTGTGTACCATACCATTCAACCATGACGACCTACCTACCGTAGGTCTGATCCCACACTCTCCTCGATCCGAGAGCATCCCTCAGAGGTGGACCCCACCGGACGGCGGCTGGAAAACCCGCGAGGCCATTAAAAACGGCCCACCGTCGTTGGAACGTGTTTGGCAGATTTTGTTGGCACCCCACCGCGACCGCA